AGAATAAGAAACGATTTAATTTTAAAATAAGAAAGAATGGAATTTTTAATTAATGAAGTGCCACTTTCTCTATAAAATATCTTTATATTAATTAAGACTAATTAAACAAATGTACATATAAAATGAATTTAAAACTGAAATGAATTTATTTATTGCTCTGTTTTAGAATAAGATTTTTTATAGTTTGTTACAAATAATATAAAAATATCTAATTAAAAGCCATGCAAGCGCACTAAAAAATTGTTATATAGTGTTTATAATTTGTATTAACGGTGAAACGATTCTAAAAAGGTAAGAAAAATACTAACCCGATTGGAATACAAAGAGACTAGTCCCATTATATGCCCGATTTGTCTGAAAACGGACTACTCTACTTTCATACCCGTTCGGGTATAAAAGGGTACAATTAGTCTCTTCATAGGACATGCCCGAACAAAAGGGAACAGTTCAGTCCATACAAAGGGATGCAAAGTGGCATTAGTCGCATACTCCTTTGCGACTCATCCCGGACTCGTCGCATTTTTTGCAGGGAGGCGCCAATTTTCAAATGCATACACAAACAAACAAAAAATGTAATAAAATTTTGCTATTTCTGTTGTTGTTGTTTATATTATGTTCCACCGCCATTTGGCATCGTTGCAACTCTGGCAAATGTTTTTGACATTGCGCCAATTGGGTTCAACGATGTGAATGTGACTACATTCATTTGCTGGCCGATACTCAATCGTACAACGTGCGGCAAAGGCCGCAAAAATACGCGGCAAAGTCAAGTGATGCGCCAACAAGTTCATAATTTAAATTTTACAAGCATTATTACTATATTGTATGTACAATAGCAAGTAAATTAATAGCAAATCAAGAAATTTATCAAGATGATAGTGGGACGATGAGTTCGAATGTTGTTTGGTCGGTGTTTGCTACCCAGCAAACATTTTTGTGGAAAAGGCAACGGACTGGATTTAAATTGTGGCTTACAATCACACTGCAATACTGTTTTGCAACAAAAACTTAAGGCTTTTTTTAAATTCTAAATATTACATGAGAAACAGCGCATTGGCAGAATAAAGACATTTCATTTTATGAAATAAAATTGTTTTTTCCAGCTTGAGAAAAAGCTACTATTATGTACAGGTTGGGCTTAACATATTCATGCGCTTCAATTTACATAGGAATTTGAATTTTCGCCTTCTCAGCGCACACCACCGCGGTGGATCGTAAGGCGTTAAATGGCAGCAACCGTGCTAACAACTTACGAAACAATCGACCAATCAGTTGTGAACTTCGCCCGTGTTATCGGCAGGCATAAGCGACACACAACGGAGAATCAACCCATCAAACGTTCCATGTCGTCCGAACATAGCGTGGCGACAAGAGCCATAAGTTATCGTGGGAAGCACCCCAACAACGCTATGCTTCGCTTCGAAACAGTCCGAAATTGCAACACGGGAGACAGCGGCTCCACAACTGGAGCAGAGACATCGAGCCATACGAAGATTCTCAAGAATGTCTACTGCTGTCAGAACGAATCTGAGCACACGCAACGAAAACATACTGGCTGGAGACCGACGGCAACACAGGAAATAGAATTGCTGAAAGAAAAACGGTCTAATCTACAGCAACGTCGCTCTCGATGGTGCAACACTTCTGCTCTTGTAGTGAAGTAGAAGGACCTGGTGTAAACTTCTGCTTAACACCTCTTCGAATGCATATCTCTCTCTCTCTCGTGGAGTGTAGAACGACTGCTTAACCTGGTTCGTACGGGTATAAGTGCCATCCATCACTGAATGCCTGACACTGTAAGGTAGCACTTTTGTAAAATGGAACAGTCTGATGAGATGGACTGCCGGTGCTATGGGCCAGCGGATAAAACGTTTGACCATATATTAATGGTCCTCTGCAATAACGACTCAACTCAAAACTCAAAAAAGAACTCTTACTACTGTTAGTGGCTAACTAATACTTGTCTAATCCTTACTAAAGTAAGTAGTAAAGATTACTAAAATAAGAATTTGGCATGAATTAGACAAGGATTAGAGACATGAGGCCCTGAATAGTAATACGGATTTAGTTTTTTTTTTTTGAGTTAAGTGTTTTTATTGCAGAGGACCATCGATATGTACAATCTGATTGCCAAGGTTGCTTGATTTGAAGGCCTTTTTGATTTTAAATCGGCTTTTTAATAAAAAATCTATTGGAATTGCGATTCCATTAATCTTCCAAATAAAAAATAAATTTTGTTTTTGATTGGATTCGTAGACCAAATACTGTTGTTCTCACGTCAGTCCCAGATTTATATCCGGCCAAGGACTGTCCCTCCAGCATCACTCCACAAAAACTATTTGAGAAATTTGTATGCTGTTACAACAAGAACAACAACCAAATAAGAAATACATTTTATATGTGATTTGATTTGCAATGGAAGAACACGATATCCTTCTGTTGGAAAATCACGACTCAAATTGATTTGCTTGACAAATCAAATCACAAATAAAATTTAGTTTTTATATGATTGACGAAAAACAAAAAAGGTTTTGTTTTTTATTTGGTCGAGGAATCAAGCCACAAATTAATTTTATTTATGATGTGATTCTTTTAACAAATAATGGGCCTTATGTTTAAAAAGTGAGCTTAAGCTCAGACCCAATTTTTGCACTGAAGGGGTGTACTGAAAATCGAGTCGGAGCTTAAGCTCACTTTTTATGCATGAGGCGCAATAAATTTATATTAGGGGTATTCATATAACATATAAATGAATACCCATAGTATTTCGCATTTGATGCAACATTCAATTCAAAAATCAATTTGATTTTTGGATTTGTGATTTGACCCTGGTGATATCCAACGTATGTACGCGTAAGTCGCCTTCGACTTAAACACATAACGAATATTGCCTTCATCCATAATCCGGAACATGACTCCCTCAAACTCCTAAATAAATAGCCTAAGCGTAAAGCCAAATTAGAGCTGCGGTAACCATAACGCCTTAGCCATAACGTAGCAAAATACTTCAGAGCTGCTTATGGTTATGGCGAAAAACTAAAAAAAATAGATACCTGCGGTTTGGTTATAGCTCTGGTGTTATGATATGACACCAATACTCGTTTACAGAGCTGCGCGTACCTTTTATCGGAACATTTAATTGTTATGGTTATGGTTATGGCTATGTTATGGCACCACTAATTTAGCCTTTAGAGAGGATTCTTAAGGGTAATCGCAATAGCTCTAGCTGGGTTGCAACGCTAGTATACACCAACAACAATAATAACGCTTACTCTGACTGAATGGCAAGATGCAACGTCTTGCATGAAAATTTAGTGATCCTCGAGGAGATATGCGAGAGTCAGATTCTTCACTAGAAATATTAGGCTTTCTATCTAAGTAGTCTCCAGTAAATAATTTAATATATCGAACTCTGAATTACGCATATATCGACATTCTACCGATTGCGGAACAATATAGTGATATAGTGAAATTTGTGAGCCTACTTTTTTAAATAAATAAGTTTGTATGTATCTCCAGTTTGGAGATTCGGTATAATCTTATAAGAATCTTATGTTTCTCAACGATTATAGATTTTTTTTGCGTTTACTGGGTACTCGTAATGTTTATTTTTCTGCTAGTGTGCTTCAGTGTTGGCTTCATCACCATTTGGCACCACGCGAATACCGAAGCCGCCGCCGCCGCTTAAGTCTGTGTTGGCCATAATGGCAGAGATACGATCGACGCCACTGAAAAGTTCAGCAACCGGTCGACCATTTTCCGTTCCACTGTCCCGTTTAAGTCGTGTGGGCGGCTGCGCAGTACGCTCTATAGCCAGCGGGCGCTCATCTTCTACAGATGTTGTGATGTCACAATGCCACAGTCAATGCTATTAATTCCGTTAGCGCGCTGCAAACGTTACGGTACCTAAAAAAAAACAACACAAAACAATGATGTGACATAAGCAATAGAAATGCACACCAATGGAAAGCATAAAGTTATTAAACAATAAATAGCCTTTTTTTGTTTTACAACTTACCTATGCGAATGTGTGTAAGTGTTTGTGTTTGTGTAGTATTTGTGCATTTGAATTTATATTGAATATTGAATATTGTGGAAAAGCAGCTAATGTTAGTTACGGTTTAAACATCCGTCGCTCGAAGATGTGTACAACACTGTGCCGCCTCAACATTTACTGAAAAATATCATTTATAGTTGGTAGCCAACGGGCCAACATGCCAAAGGCCAAAAGCCTCCAGCTTCATGCCTATTCAAGCCTACATACATATTTCATTAACAAATCGTAATGAAAAGCGAAAGTTACTCGCACACTTGCCCATTGGCGTGTAAGCCATGGTTTTTTAAGTTGCTTGTTTTTTGGATGGTGTCTTCTTCTTCTTCTTTTTTCTGAAATACCGAAAACACTTGTATCTGCCACTTTTGCTGCTTCAGTGACTCGCATCTGCATATATTTGCAGTTTCATTACTTCCAAGTCCGCAATAAGACTCTAATTAAATTATAATCAATGAAAATAACGCAGTGCTGAAGATGTGCCTTCGAGTAAGTGTAATCGCGTGCGATCAGTCAGGCGCCAAAGACACGTTTTGCATTTTCTTCATTGCAAATAAAGCGAGAAAATTAATTACGTAATATATGTTTGCACATAATATTTATTATAGGTTTTCGGGTATCTACTAGTAGCCATTATAATGCTTCTGGTATTGATGGGATTAATGAAAGGTTTTTGGCTTGGATAGAGTCAGCTCCTTCTCTAAGCTCTTGTCCGCCACAGACCGCATATTCACTAATACTTAGAAATGTTTCAAAGTTATCGTAATAACCCAGTAGAAATTTTATGCATACGAAATCGCTGTTGGTGACATGAGCTTGGTGCTGTGTATGCATACATGCCAGTATAAATGAACCTTCATTTCCATTTAACACGTGTGGTTTCTCAGAGCGCATGCGTACGCCAAGTATACACTTTTCCCACTGTTGTAAATG